CAGAATGTTAACCCGATTGTATATTGTTTACTTTATTGTAAATACTGGTGAACCGTGGTCAATAAATAGTTTTATATTCCTTTAAAAAAAAAAAAAAGTCGTGGCCACTGGGTCCGTTGTGACTCCTGGTGAAGCCGTGAGTGTCAGATGGAAGTCTGCACGGAGGCTCCTCGGTGACTGCAGCCGGACTGCAGTAGGGCCAGGACTTTCTTTCTCAGCACTGTCGGGCAAATTCAAGCCACCCACCTTGCCTTTAGTAGCCAAGTGCAGGCTTGATTTGTGGACTGGTTCGCTATCATTAAGCAGTCTCAGAGGGAAAGCGGAGGTAGTTAGTGCTATGCAGGCCTCGACATGTTTCTCATTCAAGTTTCTCATGGAATGATTTCACGTTGGAATCATAGCATAGGCTACTCAGTGAATTTCTCAGTGGGAAGTGACCTCAGATCAATTTGGACCCACTGTCAGAATAACGAATGCTTCAATTATAAAGTATACTCTCATTTTTATCACTCTTGCCATGAAATGAAAAGTTGAATACCCAGAACTTTGATTTGAAATGTAATCATGACCTTTAGAAATACATTCCCCTAAGGGTTGTTCTAACAACTGGTTTAAAACACCAAGTGTAAATAAAATGGACAAGTAATATATTTCAGTTCCCAAAGATCACCCATCAGAAACATTTGCTTTTACTTTGGAACTGTCAGTCTTAGAGAAAAGACTTCATCATTCTATATGTGAGGAGTCTTTGTGGATTGCTAACATCTTCATCGAATTTGACTGGAATTTCCTTCTCTTGAAGATGAATGGGCATTTTCCTGCTTTCCACGGTCATGAGCTTCACTCCCAGGGGTCCCAAGTTTACATAATCCTGTGATGAAGAGACAGAACAGGTTATTCAGCACGTTACCAGCCTTGATAGATTAGCTTTGCTTTATTATGGCTGGCATTTCTCTGATTGATTTCATTGCCCTCCTAATTACCTGATTGCTGTATAACACATGAAACATGAGAGCCTGCTAATTAAAAACAAAAACAAAAAAAAGACCCTGGAAGACTTATATTCCCAGTGAGGCGTGGTAGGCAACATCTTCCAAAGAGTAAGCAGCAAGGGGGTTAAGGAGTGGGTGGTGGGATGGGGACAAGTGTGCTGGCTAGAGTTGGGACACACACACACACACACACACACACACACCAGAGGGTACCCCACAAAAATGGAATTTTTTTTCCAAAGCTAAGTATTTAAATTTTTTTACAAAACAACCTTATCACCTTCGAAGTACTCTCCATTACACTTAATACATTTGTCAATCTGAGATTCCATTCTTGGAAACAGTTTTTAAACTCATCTGTTTGGATGGCTGACAGCACCGCCCTCATTTGTTTTCGTCATCTCTTTTATATTGTCAAATCGCTGTCCTTTCATGTCCCTCTTCATTCTCAGAAGCAAAAATAAGTTTCATCGAGTGAGGTCAGGTAAGTAAGGTGTGTGGGGCAGGAGAGGCAGGCTGACTTTTGCCAAAAACTGGCACACTGAGATGACTGTGTGTGCAGGTGCATTGTTGTGATGGCAAAACCAGTCCACCATCTGCCACAAATCAGGGCTTTTTTGTCTCACACTGTTACACAATCTTCTCAGAATCTCTAAATAGAGAGTTTGATGAACAGTCTGGCCTGGTGAAACAAACTCCAAATGCACTATGAGTTGATATTTTGTCCATTTGGGAAGTTGATGGATGTCCAGAACGAGGTTTGTTATCAATTGATATTTCACCTTTTTTGAACTGAGAAAACCACTTGTATACTTGAGTTTTTCCCATAGTACTGTCCTTGTAAGCTGTGTTCAATATTACAACAGTTTCTGCAGCATTTTTCCCGAGCAGGAAACAAAATTTCACAGCTCCACGCTGTTCTCTTAAATCAGCCATCACAAAAAATGAGGTTGTAGCAAAACTGCTTTTACAAAAAATCATTGTGACCACAGAGAACTAACTAAGAGCGAGTTGCTCAATGCTTACCTAGTGGGGGGGGGAGGGATGTGTACTATGAAAGCTTTACCCAGTGGAGCATTTTTCTGGGTTTGGTGGGGGCGGGGGTACCTTGTATACTGTATATAGCCATACTGAGTTTTCAATATTATCCAAAAATAGAATATTTTTGTAGTAGACCTATTAAAGTAGTTTTGACTATAAATATTCTAATAATCAACTATTCATTGACCCTGAATTTTGTGCTTTTCATGGGAATTCTGGCTACTGTGTAGATAGACCTTCACCATATAATGCCAAACTCATGATCAGTCAAAGTGATTTCAACAAAGTGAACTTAGAAGTCTAATGTAGAAGAAATTCATAAGAAAATATAGTCTGGTTATATTAAATCACACAGTCAACACAAAATTAAATTTAAACTTCTTTGACCCTTGCCAATATCCCATCCCGCATTCACTTGGTTCTATGTATTCCAGGCCTTGTATCGAGCGCTGGGCTACAAGGATCAACTCATAAACTGGTCAGGGAGACAGGCCCAGGAAGTGCACCCTTCTTGTATAATGATTATTATTGGTTTTCTTACTTGTAAGCAGCTAGCACGTAGAGAGATCTACTTTATTCCTATTCTCCTTCCTTGAATCTTTACTCATGTAACAAGTACCTGGCATGTCATTGATTTCTTGACAAATGAAAATCCTGGGCTAAAGGCATTTGAGTTTAAGAGAATCAACAAGGAAGACGATGTTTTATTCCTCAAACATGCAAAGAGTTGTATTCAGCTTTTAAATTATGACTATGTAACTATAGATCTGTAATTAATGTAAAGCAAGACAAAGGCAAATTGAAAGAGGTCTACCACATATTTTAGAGTCATCTGGAGAAAAATTAAAAAATAATAAATCATGGCCATGGCAGTTCCACAGCATCCCAAATACATGAAAAGGTAGGCCTTTGTTATGGATGGAATTGTGTTTGTTCCCCCAAAATACACTTAAGTCCTAAACCCTGTAGTGGTATAAATGACAGAGTTTTTGGAAATAGGGTTTTTCTTTGCAGATATTATCATTTAAGTCAACAGAGTCCTATAGGGTAGATCCTCAACCCAGATGATTGGTGTCATACAGAGGGGGCAAATATAGAAACAGAGTCACAGACAGCTTATTAAGGCCTGTCTACCAGGTTAAGAAGTGTCAAGAAATACTTGGGGCTAGAGAGGTGAAGGAGACCAGGAACAATCTTCCCCAAAAGCTGACAGACAAACGGGGAGGAAGCATATCCCTTCTGGTGTTTTGATTTGGACTTCTAGAAAATAAATTACTATTCATTAAAAAAAAACCACCTTGTTAATTTGCTATGGCTCAAAAACAAAATAAAGAAACAATTCTCAAACTCACTGCCTTTGTGTTGACTCTGACTCTCAGAACTGCCCCTGGGGGTTTCCAGGACTAGAACTATTTGCTAGAGGAGAAAACTTTATCTTTCACTCTCAGAGTGTATGGTGGTTTTGAACTGCTGATCTCGAGGTTAGCAGCCTACACAACACAACCAAATAGCTTGCAATTGGGGAATTTTGTCTAATTTACCTAAGGTCATTACTACTTAAAAAGTCATGATTCCAGGACACTCTTGGGGGGGTGTTTAGGTGCAAAGAGACTAGACTAGAACTTTGGTCCCTCAAATGGTTGCTAGGTGGTAGTAGGATTGAGTTGCAGTCAGGTAAAGTGGTCCGTGCCGGTCCGTTCGTTTCCTTGATTTCTGACAGTGCTCTCTTCCGACTCGCCTTTAAAGCTCTTGGTAGGATCGAGAAGGCAAGTAGCACGGGGATAGAACAGAGGATAACTGGAATGTACAAAACTTAAAAGGCATTGTGGTAGTTAAATAATCTATTGTCAATTTGAGATTTAAGAGTGAAAGGGTGGAGTTTAGCCTGTCAATCAGGTCGCAACGTGATGACTGCATTTGGAAGCACTAAGGAGAAAATAGCTTGCTGGAGGTGGGACATATGCTCACTCCCTGCGAAACATTAGGAGCCTGATGGAGCTACGCTGATGCGGCCAGAGGCCTAGGAGCTGGAGGGGCCACGTGGAGATCCCTGCCAGTGCTGAGATGCTTCTACCACCACGGGATCCACAAGAATTTCCACCCACTGACTTGTGATCTTCCTGAATTTGGCATTATTGCATGACTGCGTGAGTCTAAAGAGGAATTTATGGACTAGTATTGGACATATAGGTTAATATTGGACTTATGGACTTGATTTGGGCTGGGTTGGGATGTTTTCTTAATGTACAAAATTAGTCTTTGTTATAAAACTCTCTCTTACACACATGAGTGTCTATGAAATTGTTTCTCTATCTATCCGGAATAACAGAGGCAAGATGCTTCATGTTTTAATAATGGTATATCTGGAAATTTGTACTTGCCAAAGATGGTCACATGAATATATAGATCCTATCCCACTTGCTTTTCTTATAATGTAATGCTGAACTTCCTCCGTCAAGAAGTAGGATCTCCTCTCCCTCCCGTGGGTGGCATTCTATAGTTGCATCAACCCAGGAACTGTGATGGAAGTGCTGGGGTTTGGTGCCCAAATCTAAGACTTACGTTGTAGCTTTCATCTTGACTCGGGTTGCTTGCTCTGGGAAAGCCCCCCAAAACAATACAAAAAGCCCCACACAGCCAGCGAGTCTATTGAGACGCATAGAAACCCTTTAGAAAGAGTCAAACTTCCCCCATAGAAACCCTACAGGGTTTCTGAGAGTGAAGATCCTTAATGGAGCAGCTGGCCCCATCTTCCTCCCACGAGTGGTTGGTGGCTTTGAACAACCAGCCCGGCACTTAACAACCCAATGCTTATCCCACCAGGGAAGGCGTCCTCAAACTACAGCCCGCAGGCCACATGCGGCCCACTGAGGACATTTATCCGGCCCGCCGGGTGTTTTTGCCCCGTTTGTTTTTCACTTCAAAATAAGATGTGCAGTGTGCATAGGAATTTGTTCACAGCTTTTTTTTAAACTATAGTCCAGCCCTCCAATGGGTCTGAGGAACAGTGAACTGGCCCCCAGTTAAAAAAGTTTGAGGACCCCTGCACCAGGGCATGATTGTGTAAGTTAGATACCATATAAAGGGACACTCAGGTGCCCTGTGAGGTGGCCCTCCTGAAGAGAGCCGCCACCCACCCCCTTAGCCAGCACACACTTGCCATTCACATGAAGAAGCACTGTGGACCTTCCTACTCTAGTCCAGCCTGCAGGGGACTGTAGCCCCATTCACACATGACTGTGATTCACGGACAACCCCCGAGTCACCATTGCCCAATTAAGTCCTTCCTGAAGTATTAGTTGGCAAGCCATTTGAAAGGGAGCAAGTGATTATTGTTATAAGCCACCAAGTTCAGGGGTGATTTTTTTTATATACAGCCCTATGCTCAACTTGTATCTAAGAAGTTGGACTGTTACGAAGAAGGCACTAGGGTTGATATTCTACTAATGCTGATGGTGGGAGCAGTTGAATCGATTCTGACTCATGGCACAACGGTCTGGTCCTGGGCGTCTTCCTGACTGCTGCTACGTGTGGGCCATGGTCGCCATGGTCGCAGTCACTATGCTACGTTAATCCACCTTGTGGACAGTCTTCCTTTGTTTTGCTGACCCTCTGCTTCTCCAAACATGATGTCCCCGGGTACTGATACCTTCTGGTAATATGTCCAAAGTACATGACACGAAGGCTTGCTATCCTTGTTTCAAAAGAACATTCTGAATTTCAAAAGAACACTTCTTCCAAGACAGGTATTTGTTCTTCTGGAAGCTCACAGTATATTCAATATTCTACACCAACACCGTAGTTCAAGTGCATCAATTCTTCTTCAGTCTTCCTTAGCCATCATTCAGCTTTCCCATGCAAATGAGGTGATGGAAAAACACCACACTTGGGTCAGGTGCAGCTTATTTGTCGCAGTTATATCTTTGCTTTTCTGTTTCACACTTAAAGAGATCTTTTTGCCATGGATTTTCCCAATGAAATATGTTGTGTGATTTCCTGTCTGACGTTCCCCTGGGCATTGATTGTGGATAAAATGAAATCTTTGACATCAAGCTTTGCTTCCTTTAACATTATGTTATTTATTGGTCCCATTGTGAGGATTTTTGTTTTCTTTATGGTGAAGTATAATCCACATTGAAGGGTGTAGTCTTTGATCTTCAGCAATTAGCACTTCCAGTCCTCTTGACTTTGAGGAAGTGAGGTTGTGTCATCTGGATATGGCAGGTGGTCTTTTTAATGACCTCCTGGCTTCCCCATGTATGAGATCGTTAACGCCATTCTGCAGTTCATCTGCTCTTCAGTTCTTAGTGTTCAACCTGTTCTTGAGATGGTGTCTAAGTTCAGGGATCTAGTTACAGCAACTTAATGGGATATAGTCAAGGTTGTATTTTCGCGTGGGTTGACTTGTTTGAATTTTCTTCAGCTTCAACTTGACTTGCATGGGAGCAATGGGTGCTGTTTTGCAGTTGCCTTCTGACCTTGTTCTGGCTGAGGTTATTGAACTTCCCCTTTGTCTCTTCCCACAGCAGTAGTAAATTTGATTCCTGTGTATTTTACCCAGGCATCAGTGAAAAGAACAGGTCAAGATCTACCCTGAACTACAACAGTGTCAGTGATAGGATATGATCAATAAACCTACAAGGAAGACTATGACGATTCAAGTTCACGCATTAACCACTAATGCCAAAGATGGGCAAATAGAAGACTTTTACCAACATCTGTCTGAAATTGATCAAACACGCAATCGACATCCATTGATAATTACTGTGAATTAGAGTGCAAATGTTGGAGATAAGGCAGAAGAATCATCAATGTGATAATATGGCCTTGATAAAAGCAATGCTGGGGATTGTATGATAGAGTATTGCAAGACGAGGGTCTTATTACATGTAAACATCCTTTTTCAACGGCAGAAATGGCAACTCTGCCAGGAGACTTTGTGCGATGGAACACCAACAATGGGGGAAGGGGTGTCTTTACATGAATATATGCAACAGACTGATCATGGGTGGAACTAAAACTCGTATGCAGTAAGAAATGTAAATCATGGTTCATTTTCCCCTGACGATTACAGATACATTTTTCGATATCCACATATTAAATGCTAGGCTAATGTTATCCATTAGTTAATAGAGCAGTATCAGGTTAGTATTAGGGCAGAGTTGTGCTCACAGACCCTTACCCTGAAGTCCTGCTCATCTTCATACAGTAAGTATTTTATCTCAGATGCTCCAGACTCTGCGTGGGAGCTGTCCTCCTCCTGGGGCTGCGGGTGGACCTCCCCGAGGGTGTCCTCAGAGGGCACGCGGGAGGCACTGCTCTCCGCCGAGGCGCTCGCCAGCTCGCCGCTCCTCACTTCTTCCTCCTGTAATTTCGACGTTGATTCTGGGGGTGAATACAAATACATTAATCATGGAAAACATTTTTGGTCACATGTTAAGTTGAAAAACCCTTTGAGAGTTACAATTACGATTTGTCAAAATGTGAATGTTGTACATTCTTAGTTGTATTTTCTTCTCTTAGCTAAGTTCCAATAATCATGTGGAAACGTGTGTCAGAATTTTGATCAGCTACATGGACCCCAAACTACGCCAATGTCGACAACATCGCATTCCTCCCCACCACTATATATTGTAGGGTGAAATGTGGTGGCTTTTTATTTGATTTTAAAATTTGACTGAACATGGAATTACAAATAGGAAACAGGCCATAGGCTTTGCAGGAAGAGAACTATGAAGGAGCTGGCCTGCGTTTGTTCTCTGAACCGCTCTTGGTGTAGGATTAGGCATTGGGCTGTGATCTGCATAGGCGGCAGTTCAAAACTACCAGCAGCTCCGTGGGAAAGACTGGGCTTTCTACTCCCGTCCAGTTACAGTCACAGAAACGCACAGGGGGTCACTATGCGTCTGCGTTGACTCCATGGCAGTGAGTTGCGTGAGAAGAGGTATTGCACGTTAGGTTCTGTCATAACTGTTGCTCAATCAGTGCTTTTTCAATAATAATAATAATAATAATAAGTCATCACCGTTAGAGTAAAATACTACCATTAAGTGTTTCTGGAAACTCCCAAGCAGTTTTGTCAGGTGGTACTTCCTGTCCAGTAGCTTGAGTAAGAAATAGACGCCTAAGAGAACAAGAAGGAAAGTAATTTATCAATCAGTTATTGTCGTATGCGTGGTCACTCGTGTCTGCTGGATGTTGGAGACTCAGAGGTGAAAAGTGTGACAACGTGTCTACTCTTGGGGTTTCTGCAAGGAAATCCTCCCTCGCCTCCTAAGGCAGATGGGGCCCGTGTCTCCCTGCCCTTGTGTCATAGTGGATGGTTCATTTATCTGCTAACGGTGAGGGCTGAGCTTCTCAGCCCCCAGTTGTTCTGTGGGAGACAGACAGGCTGTGTGCCCCTGGAGAGTTGACAGCCTTCGCGACCAACAGGAGCAGTTCCGTTCTCCCCATGACTGGGCGCCAAGTCTCTCTACCTTACAACACTCTGTCTGCCCGACCACACATTATATGAACGATCTGTCCTGATACCAACCATCACTTTGATATTTCTCCAGGGGACAGTTCACCTCTATTTCTCATTACCCTACTCGATATTATAAAGGACCAATTTCTCAACAAAGAAGTAGGCGGGATCGTTGCCATAATCTTCAATACATATATATCTCTTTGACTAGAAAGAGGTAGCATAAAAGCTCAGGAACCCTCCCTGGTCATCCCATAGTTAAGAAGTCTAAGAGGTAATTGAAGCTTTACATATATCCCTGTTTCTTTATGCAGCTCTTTCTAAAATATCCTAAACAGGTGCCATCCAGAGTGTATTGTCCGGCGGTTCTCAACCTGTGGGTCGCAACCCCTTTGGGGGTCCAACGACCCTTTCCTAGGGGTTGCCCGATTCATAACAATAGCAAAATGATAGTTATGAAGTAGCAACAAAAATATTTTTACGGTTGGGGGTTCACCACAACCTGAGGAACTGTATGAAAGGGTCGCGACCTTAGGAAGGTTGAGAACCGCTGGCCTCGGGGAGAGCAGGTCTGAAGTAAGAAATCACCAGTGTGAATTGCTGGCTGCAAAGGAAGAGCTTAGCGCGCCATGGAGGCATGTACGGGGGCACCTGAGCCAGTTCTTATAAACATAGCCTGTGCAGGCTGTTTGCTTGTATTTCCTTTGGGCATATTTTAAGTTAATCTCCCTCAGCTCACAAGTAGAACTGTTGAGTACCACTAGAGAAAACCAAGCCCCGAGCGCTGATGGACAGCGAGGACTGTACAGGGAAGGCTGACGACGAGTAAGATTGCACAGGACACAACGAACAAGGAAAATGCGTCTCCTTTCCCTTCCAGCCTGGTCAAGTTCTCACTAGTCAACGAAAGAATTCCCTTGTGTTGTAACTATGAGCACTTCACATCCGTCGGCTCCAAATGAGGTTTTCCGAACGACATCGGCTGATGTGGAGAAGTGGGGCTGGCAGTTTGGAGGGTAGCTCTTTCTTAGAGTTTGGCCGGTCCCCCAAAGATAAGGTGACCAGACGTCCTGCTTTGGGCGGGACAGACCCGATTTTTAACAATTTTTCCCACATCCCGGGGCGTTTTTAAAAAGTCCTGATTTTTGGAAAGAATGCACAACAAGCTAGGGTATATGGTTTTCGGCTGCCATGTGGCTATTTCGCCAGGATATGAGTTTTATCAATGGTGTCCCGCTTTACCAATGTTAAATCTGGTCACCTTACCCAAAGAGGAAAGTAGGCAGCAGGTTAGCAGCGGTTAGAAGCCACCGAGCAAGCAACGCTGGCAGAGATCAGACCTAATCACAAGGAAGACAGCAGCAGCGATGGCAAGTATAGAGAGGGTGCGAGTGTGGAGCTGGAGACATGACCATCGCATTTCCTTCTGGGAGGGTCATGAGGCACCCAGCCATGAGGAGCCCTCAGGGGGATCAGCTCAAAAGACTGGAAACACAGGAGCCCCGAAATTTAAAAATCTCATTCAGCTTGGCCCCCTTCATTATCTGACTGCCTATCCCGGGCAGCATACTAATTGTTGAAGAGAGGCGGATGTTTTCTTCCTCTAAACTTCCCCAGCCAGCCTTTCACTTACAGCTGCCATCTTCTGTCCGGATGTCTACTACCTAGCCCAGCGAACAGACCAGAGGTTACCATAATCCATCTCCTTGGCACATGTTAGGCAGTTTGTAAAGAAATCCTTCAAAGTGTTCCAAACAGTATTTTTCCACACCACACAAACAACAGGAACACCAGTTCGACAGAAAAATTTTCCTTGCTCTTTCACTACATCCAACTCACTATCTGCTTTAAATTCTAGACTCTGACTTTTCTCTCCTAGAAAGTAGTTTGACTGTCAAAGCACATAATCAATCCTGCATCCCAGAGCACTTACAGGAAGCTTCTGGAAAGTTAATTATTCCTTCTCTGTGCTAATAACGCTGAACCTCATACATCCTCCACTGTGTGATAGTGGTTTTATCATGCCAATCTCCCCTGCTGCCCTGCAGGTTCCCCACAGTTGCCATTTGTAATGT